CAGACGGCATTTCTCTTTTATTCTATATTTTAATTCGTATAAAAAATTAAAGAATTTTCCTTCAGAAATTGAATTTAAAATTAGATTTGTAATTTTAATTTAAAAATTCGCGCTTCCTCCCGCCATTCAGGAAGCCTCTCCTAGCTTGCTACATATATATTTATCTATGGCCACTCCAAGCTCTGATGCCAGCTCGAGAACGCCCGAGAATGAGTCATAGATAAATAAATATGTAGGAATGAGTAGGTAACCGATTTTGATTTGTAATTGTGTGCGTTAGCTAGCGATGTGCAATTCACTTACAGGGACTTACAGGGATCTAATTATTGTAAAGGATGCGGTAAAATATTTAAAAAAAAAATAGTTTAATGCACGAAACTGAATAACTTCAAAAATTTACTGGATTTTTACCTTCTCAGTTCTAAAGTAATTAAGAAATATTCAAATAACATGTTCCCGGTAAAAATGCACTTACTTGCCTTTTGTTGGATTTTATTCAAAATGTACAAAGTCCTAATAATCTATGAAGTGGTGAGTCTACCGATAAACTTAAACAATTTCATCCAAGAATCAATCTAAATAATAAAATCATCTAAAAATAAAATTTAAATAAACAAATAATAAATTAAATCATTTCAAGATTCGATTAATTGACCATTTTTACCGATCATTTGAATATTTTTACCGATTATTCGCATAACAATGAATTTTAATAATTCAAACACTACGGTAAGGTACATTGCGATATATCATTGAAACAACGTCAGGCAAAAAGGTTGACCGGTATTTTCTTTTTCTGAAAGATTCGAACTTGAATTAGTGATAAAGAACTACATATGTTGTAATGAAATATAGATAACTACATAATTCTTTGGATTTATGTAAAAGGTTATTTTAAATCTTGTGAGTACGCTTGTACAAATTTATTGCGGAATGATTAATGTGTAACGTCAAAACGTATTTCTTAGATTTGGTTGAGTATATAACGTTATTATTTCTCATCTGTACTGTACAAATTGTCACGGCGGCAGAGCAACACAGTGATGGTGTCGAGCGCAATAGACAACACGAATGAATAGAACAACTGCAAAGTCAAGAGCGACAGACACCGCTGTGCTATCCCCGCAGATATACCTGTAGATATTTATAATTACGAATAAGCTAATGCATAACACTAAAGTTTTATATTAGAGGCGCCACTTTGAGATCTAGCCCCACCTAAAAATTTTGCTAGGGGCGCCACTGCTTGTAGAAATCAGTTAATAAGATTACTCTGTTTAAAGACCAATATGTTTATGAGGCTATCTTCTCTTTCATCTGTCCCTAAAAAATAATAAACCTATTATAATTTTATCTGCATGAATTTAAAAACATAACGATTTTACACAGAGTAGCCAAATACGGAGGAGATATTAAATTGTACCAGGTGTCTGAGGATACAGATGCACTATCTATTCTCTCAATCTCAGTATGTTAAGAGAATGGTCACCCATCCATGGACTCACTGCGACAAGTGCAGCTTAATCTCGCAAAAATATTGATCCGCACAGCTGTACATTTACCATGAGTTCCTCTCCTCTACGACTAATGCTGTAGGCTATGAACCACGATATCCAACTCTCGGCACACTATTATCGGGTATCAAGCATAAATCGAGCAAAGGGCGTTGTGAGTATCAAATACTATGGAATTTATACAATCCTGGCAAACTGAACCGCGCGTCTCATGCGCGGGCATCTAGCGGCGCTTCATAAGCATTACTAAATATCTATACCTAACTACACTTAAAGTTTTATCATTTTGACTTGGGAATATAATCCGTAGCTCCGCTCAACCCTTTGGGGAAAATAGCGTGACGCTATAAATGTTGTACTATACTAGAATTATTTTGTCCACGCAGTTTGAATCATAAATCATCGGAGTATTTCACTCTCTCTACCACGAACGGGCTTTAGGGGTGAGCATAGTGATGTGCATTATTGTTGTCGATAAGCGTTATTGATAGTGTGTTAAGTTTTGTCATTTTGTGGCTTAGTGATAAAAATTAAAAAAAAAATAGATAAAACAACGTATTTATTAAAATAAGAATAATAATGATTTAAAATAAATTATTAATTTGGTATCTATGTATTAAAAAAAAATAAGTACAAATGTTTGTTTTTTAATTTTGTCGACCGCTCTAACACTCACACCACATATCGCCGCAGCAAGTTTACGAGAACGGCAGAAATTAACACTGTAACTTTTCGGGATCTATTTTCATTTCAGTGAAAAATGTTAAAACATTGTTGATAACAACACGTGCTTGTGCTGGTTTTGCTGAATTGGTGCCAACAGGCAAAATATTATTTTGAATAAATTCTGTCGTTTTGGTACAAAACAGAGTAGCCATTGTGGTACTAAATTATTAGTGCACTAATTTGCAGACATTAGGGGGGGGGGGGGGGGGGGTAGTAATGGAAAACAAATATACTCAAATAGACTCATAACATAACAATGTCGCACCAACCTTTGTATACCGCACCGTCGCCGTTTACCTGCCTTCGATGATTCATTTGTTGTTATCGATAAACATGCTCACCGCCGTAGCCGAGCTATGATTTATGACTACAACTGCACGGACAAAATAATTTTACTATAGTAATCGTGACGTGAGGGTGGTTATGTAAGGTTATACATTTTTATGGTTGATAAAAAGATGGTTGATAGTTGCGTTCATAATGGTTTAAATAGGATAATCTCAATTTTTTTATCTTTAATGTACTACAGTTTTATAATGTATAAAACTCTATCTCTATTTTTATCTAAAGTTTTTGAAGTTAAATTGTTAAAGTTTTACTTACTTACTGGTACTAATAATGTAAAAATGACTTCCTTTAGTAAAATATTTTTTATTCTACATTTATTTTATACTTCTCAAGAAAATGTTTGCTACAAATTGTTAAGTTCTTTGGATTCCAACATACCCACCCAATTAACCTAAACCATATTTTTCTAATTATAGAATCCGGCGGGAATCTTTTTGACAAACGACAAAATAAAATTACATTTTTAGAACGCAAACCGAACATTTATTACCATTCCTCTTCTTGTTGTGAGGCCAAGTCTATTGATTCATTATAAACATTCAAGATAAATATCGACATTAATTTTGATATAGTTGAGTCAATCCCTAGTGCACATATAAAATATTTTGTTTTCAAATGTATTGGTTAATAAATATTGTCAAATAATACAAGTTGACTTATTTCTTTGCAAAATTTCAAAATTAACAAAATAAATGAAAATATTCTATATTTTAAACTGTTTAAAATATAAATTTTAGCCAAAAATATACGCGTCATAACATCGACGACATCTTAAAAAATTACCTGTGAAATGTGCAATTATCAGGATTATGTCTATAATTGACACTCGCTCTATAATTGAATCGTGTTTTGCAAACCGCCACCTGAAATGCGTACAATTTTTTTTCCATAACGATGTGAAATTTCTAAACGATCCCCATGCATATCAATGTGGCTCTATTCAGCCTCTTAATATGAACATACCTCGGGATCCAGAGATTTTAAAAGTTTTCATGCGTAGATAATGGAAGATATAATATTTATTATATTATTACTGTCCCGTGTGAGGCAACCTTTATACTTATATATTCTCATCATATTTTTATGGTTGGTTAGAAAAACATTTTATTTATGGAAAACGTCTTGCAATCGTCGTTTCTTTAGCGCTCAATTGACCTTCATACAAATAATGCGATATTTTAATTGTTGATAATTTTTTTATTTTTGGATAACAACTTAGTAATGTCTCTAAGTTATATTTACATTCACTTTAAAAAAAAATTGTCTTTGGCCTGACCTACTATACTCTTTGGCTTGACCATAGGTCTGCCCTTTGCACGATAGTGCACACTATCGATTAATCGATAATCTATCGATGTTTAAGGAACACTAAGGCCGCCGCGCACTAGGCAGCCTGGCTGCGCAGCCAGGCTGCGGCGGCCGAAATATTTGAGCAGCCACTTCTAAGCAGCCAATGGACGGCGAGTTGTGACCCTTTTTTCGAGGGATATGGACGTAGAAGAACTTGTAATTTTGTGCGTATTTCGTAAAAAACGCCAAGCTAAAAGACATTCGATGCATCCTTATTTTCTATAACGGCACTCAAAAGGCTTATTTCATACCTGTTTTAAAGATGTTCGTGAAAACCCATACCGGTTTTTTCAGTGCAATCATTTGATAAGCTTTTGGAAAATATAAGAAATTCAAGCAAGGGCACTGATACTCCCATAGATATATCCCATATTGCTTTACGGTTTTCAATTTCACGAATAAATTTCTCAGTGTCAAAAGCCATTTTGTGATTTCTGAACACAAAATACGCCTGGCTGCTACGACAAATGCGCGGTGACTGACGGCAGCCACATACATTTGCCCTGCTCGCTCTGGCTGCGCGCAGCCAACGGGCTGCCGTGCAATCGGACGCGCTTTTATGGCTGCCGCAGCCGGGAGTTCGTGGCTGCTTGGTGCGCGGGCTCCCATACACCGTCATATGTTCGACTGGCTGCCGCAGCCAGGCTGCCTAGTGCGCGGGGGGGCTAACTTACTTCGCTGAGTGAAAAAGAGATAGGCAGCATATTGACAGTTCAAGGTCGAATATAAACATATTTGTATAACCAATAAAACATATAGACGCTCTCGGCAGCTCCTCATTTTCTATGCTCAAGTTCACGATTGACATTGACAGATTGACATATGTCTAGATTATAGGTAAAACTATAATTTAAAAAAAATTCTTGTAAATAAAGTTAAGTTTATAGTATAACAACTAAATAGAAATAGCTATCACAGAGTACATTTACATTATATATAGGGTATATCTATGTTGCGATAGTGTTTTGTTAATAACAAAGAGCATATTAATCGATAATCACTGTGCTTGTAGATAATATAAAGTTAATCAAAGCCTGGCCTTTAATATTTGATACAAAGAAAATGATACAATGTCGATTACATCCAATTATACGTACATTTTTTCAGCAATTTACGTCACAGCGACATACTGTAACATACGTTCAAGGCCAGGAACACGAACCAAAGATTAGAGAATATTTTTATTTCATTGATCACCAAGGGATGGTAAGCAATCTTTGACTTGTGTTTTGTATATTGAGCCAAATTTACTTACTTTTAGGATTGTCCCTAAAGCTTAATTTATTTTCAGTTATTTTTGGATGATGCTAAAATGAAGAACTTTACATCATGTTTTAAAGAAAAAAAATTTTTGGAATTTTTTTTCAAGAGAATTAGGCGAAATACTACTGGTAGATATGAAGATGACTTTCCTTTTATATCTTTGTGTGGTAGGGAAAGAAATTATATTAGGTGTGACGATGTTCCTATAGTTTACACTCATATTTTTTATAATAAGTCAGAAGATGAATATTTCCTTACTTATGGTTATGTAGGAGATAGCTTAAAGATGATGTTTATGCCAGACAAAATATACATGCTTCCGGAAACAGGGAGATTGTATCATCCAGCAGAAGATAAATATGGTGGTATTGGACTAGTCAGGTCAAAGCTTGCAATAGAGCTTAGTAAATATTTTGAATTCAGTGAAGGGGAGGCAAATCCTCCAACACAGTTTATATGGCAGAATAAAAAATATACGCTAGATCAATATTGGCTTCATAAAAATATCAGTAAGCATAAGATAAAATTAAGAAGTAAACCTGATTAATTATATCAATTTATTATTATGTTGTATCTATACTATTATTTTTAGATTAAATGTATAACAAATTAGATGGTTAAGTAGGAATAAAAACAGAACTTAATACCTACTATTATAAAATTATGACATTCAAAAAATAATTATAAAAAAAGTAATTTTAGTCACGTTAATAAAACATCAATATTTTGTACTATATAATTTTGTTACAGATTGTTTAATTCCACTTTTTGCTACTTAAATATGTGTTCTTGTCACCTTTTTATCACAGTTATTTTTATGGCTGAAGTCTATTAAATATTAAAAAATTAATAAAAAAATAAAGCTGGAAAAATTATGTAGTTTCTTCTTTAGAGAATGATTCAAAAGAACCTGGTTGTACCCATGATATGCCATAAGATCCTTCATTTGTTCTTGATGTTTTAAGCATTAAATTTCTTGCATTGTCATGAACTTCAGGATCATATGGTTTGAATGTTATGTAATGTCTGTCATCAGTATTTGGGTCATCATATACATGATCAATACTAGTCATCACACATTCTTTCACTCTTTCGAGGAATACTTTACGATTTGTTTTAAACCTGTAAAATAATTTCATATTAGTCTTTCAGTAATGCTTTTGCAAAAAGGCTTCTGCTTCAGAAACTGGGTGTTTGTTTAAACTTCAGCACAATACTCACAAACAGCATTCTAGTAAACCTAGGTACTACATATAACAGCTTTCCACTAAATGCATATTATGAAAGTATATATGTTACCTATGACAAAAATACAATTTTTAAAATTTTTGTCTGTCTGTTTGTTCCAGCTAATCTCCGAAAAGGCTGGACCAATTTTAATGGAACTTTTCGCTTTGACTTGACTTTTCTAAAATAAAAGTAGCCTAAGTTACTTCTTATAACATCAGATACCTGCCAGTGAAAGTCCGATCAAAATCGGTCCAGCCGTTTCGGAAATTAGCCGGAACAAACAGTCAGAAAGATAGACAAACAAAAATTTAACAAATCGTGTTTTTGTTATAAGTATTGTATATACTTTCATATGCATTTAGTAAAAAGCAGTTATTTTAACATTACAAACATACACTTCAATTTCATTTATTTGTATAGATAATTCTATATATTCATTAATTAATTCATCTTTTACAGTCTTATCAAAAGTCCACTGCTGAACATAGGCCTCACCCATAGATTGCCAGAATCACATACATTGAACCACCTGCATGTTTCATCAGGCTGTTACTCTTAGGCCCCTCGCGCACTAGGCAGCCTGGCTGCGCAACCAGACTGCGGCGGCCGAAATATTAGAGCAGCCACTTCTAAGCAGTCAATGGACGGCCAGTTGTGACCCTTTCTTCGAGGGATATGAACGTGGAAGAACTTGTAATTTTGTGCGTATTTTGTAAAAAACGCAATGCTAAAAGACATTGGTTTCATCCTTTTTTTCCTAGAACAGCACTCAAAAGGCTTATTTCATACCTATTTTAAAGATGTTCGTAAATACCCATACCGGTTTTTTAACTACACGAGAATGTCAGTGCAATCATTTGATAACCTTTTGGAAAATATAAGAAATTTAAGCAAGGGCACTGATACTCCTATAGATATGTCCCATATTGCTTTACGGTTTTCAATTTCGCGAATAAATTTCTCAGTGTCAAAAGCTATTTTGTGGTTCCTGAACACAAAATACGCCTGGCTGCTACGACAAGTGCGCGATGACTGACGGCAGCCACATACATTTGCCCTGCTCGCTCTGGCTACGCCAACGGGCTGCCGTGCAATCGGACGCGTTTTTATGGCTGCCGCAGCCGGGAGTTCGTGGCTGCTTAGGTGCGCGGGCTCCCATACACCGTCATATGTTCGACTGGCTGCAGCAGCCAGACTGCCTAGTGCGCGGGGGGCCTTAGCCTTCACAAAAAACTGTGATTGTCAGTCTCATCTGCTATTTCAGCACCTTTCTTACCCTATGGTTGTCAGTTCTTTGAATTATATGGCTGGCCCATTGCCACTTCAGCCTACTGATCCACTGGGCTACGTCAGTTACTGTAGTTATTCTGTAGATATCCTTGTTACACATTCACCTTTGAAATGCTGTCCATGTTTTCAACATTATGCTCAATAATCCGTTGGTAGACAATACAAAGGTGTATTGTCTACCAACGGATAGGGTCTCAAGATGAACATAGACAACAAAAATCATGTCCAACAACCATGTTGCACTTGAAATTGTTGGGAACACTTGGGACTACTATGCACCCCAAACGGGATGGATTATTGGAATTCATATATTATTTTTCTTCCGATTTTTTCCCTCGGCTATGTACAGTCATTCATAGAAACATGATAAAAACTGGCCCAAGATACTTAGTAGACATTAGCATACCTATAAAAATATATACATACTTCTTCTTTGAAAGGTCAATGCTGTAATAAAAGGAGTACCTTACAGGATTACAGATTCATTGGAATCTTGGCATAAAACAATTTAAAATGAAGTTAAAAAAGTAACGTTTTTGGTATGTTTGCAAAAAAAAAACACTCAGATTTTCGCTAACACATGTGTGTGAAATTTAGAAAACGATTGCAAATGTATATTAAAAGTGACGATTTATCCAGGATAAGAAATACATCTACTCAATAATGAAATAATTAGTGTTGGTAATTTCCTAGACATATTGCAGAATTTATAAATGACGTAATGTAATGTTATTAAAAACGAGGAAGTTTAATTTGACTTAAATGCAATATGTAATGCATGGACTGTAACGGTAACGGCAATAAGTATGTAATATGTTTTTTGTTTATGTTTGTGGTTATTATAAAATAAATTCATAATTAAAGTATAAATGTTGAACTGTACTTGGGGTAAAAAGTCGAAAGAACAAATAAAAGTGACTTCCGATTATTCACCTGTCCGGGGTGGATATATGAACATGCGTTTCAGACTATCCACCCTAGAGTGAATTTTTTATGGTGGGTAAACGGAATAACCCCATTTTGCATAAAGCATGATTTCCTTATCATCTTCACTATAACTTCACAAGTCCACTTCTGTACATAGGCCCCAAGGTATAGTACTATGCACTGTTCTGAGCCACCTACTACACCAGGTCATGTGAACGGCCACCCTACTGTTTGCTCACTGGTATGAGGCTGCCAGTTGAGAACCTTTCTTTGTCATCAGTTGCTGGTTGTTCCAGATAATGGCAGACCTATTGCCACTTCAACTTAGTGCATTTATTCATTTTGAAGTTATCATGCAGAGAAACGTTGAGCATAGCCCTCTCTATAGCTCTTTGAGCAACCTTGCCTTGAGCTTCCTCATACAGCCAGCAGTGAAAGATATTCTCAGATTTATATGTCATCACTGGAATTATTGGCACACAACACTGATAAAAAGCACTGGGAGTCGTGTATATTTTGAGGTATACATGACAAGAAGATGTGTATCATAATTTCACAAAAAGTAGAGTTGAATCCATCGATTGACGTCTTGGTTGAAGTTGGCTGTTGACTTAGTCTAAAGTCTAGTCGTATAATTTGTCCCAGGTATACATTTTTGAGCGCAGTGCTCCTAACTACTAATAAACTGACATGTGTGGATGGCCGTTACATATAAGCATTGTCTTTTCCATGTTCATTTTGAGAACCATATGATATATGTTGGAAGAAACTATTGAGGTCTTTGAACATAGTGCTGAGGTATACACAGCAATTTTGCCACAAGGACAGTCAGCAAATGTTGAGTGACCTACATGCAATAGCAAATACAATATACAATAGTATATGTGTGTGTTTGCATGCATGTGTGTCATTTGTGGGTTATATGTGTGTAATTATGATTATTGCCAAAAAAAATTGTTTATATGAAGCTATTAAATTATTGATTATCATTAATTACTTACGCCACAGAAGCTTCTAAGTTAGCAGGAGATTTTAAATTTAAATTGTTAAATATCCAGTGCAAGTATTTAAGTATTTGCCAAATGTGATTTTGTTTTCTATCCCATTGAGGAAACACCTCATTTAAACTGAGAATGCCAGTTGTTGCGTTAACTGCTGGGTGATATAACTTTGAAGTGAAAGTAACAACCTAAAAAACCAAAAATTTCATTAGTTTCTATCAAAACTTTTGCATATATCAGATATAGATTATGCTTTATTTAGACAATTTAAAGCTAAGAATTTTGAACAATGTTTTAATTATTAAAACAGTATAAAGAACTATTGGTTGTGTATGGCTATAGGAATACATGCATGAATGAACAAGTTCAATTGAGATGGTCAATTTTGCTGAAGTATTGTAATTATTGAAATCAATATTGTCAACAAATTTTAAAAATGTGAATATATGCTATCCCTAATAACTGATTGTGTGCTATCACTACACACACAATGACGATAGTAGTAGTGATGCAATATAAAAAACAGTTGTCAGTAATCAGTAAGTTAAATATAATTATATACTATTTAATTTTTGTTCCTAAATTACTCACTATTGAAAACAGTTCTGTTCTAAATGGCTATTTAACAAAAAACCAAGGTAAGTTGAGTTTTATTTATTTCAAGGAAATATTATACTATTAAAATTTGAAAATTTATTTAGTTTGGAACTTGATTTACTATAGTAAAATTCAATGCTACTTTGGGTGAGTTTGCTTTGTGCGCACAACCTTAATATGGGAACACTGTGAAAGTATACTTATTGTTTAGCAACATTCAGTCACTAATTCACACATCCACTACTGAAACGAAACATTGAAACACTGCTGGTAAGATAAGGAAACAAAGAAGGATAGTACATTCACCATGTCTTCATTCCTCTCATCATCATCATCATTACAGTCTATCAAAATTCATTGCTGAACAAAGGCCTCCCCTGATAGATTGGCCTAATAGGGGATATTTTTGCTATAGTTGTCAGTTTTGCAGGTGGGTTAGCTACCACAGTGTTATTTTTTATCAGAAATAACAACTAAAATGCCTGCCACCCATCTTCTGCTT